ATATATGCCTAGGAGTGGAATTGCCATATCATATGGTAATTCTGTATTTAGCATTTTGAGGACCAAACTTTTCCACAGTGGCTGTACCATGTTACATTCCCACCAGCAGTGTATGAGGGTTCCAATTTCATCACATCCTTGCCAATACTTGTTATTTATCTGACTTTTTGATTATAGCCATCCTAGTGGGTGTAAAGTGGTATTTATTTCATTGTGATTTTCATTTGAATTTCTCTATTGATTTGTGATGTTGAATGTCTTTTCATATGCTTATTGGCCATTTGTATATCATCTTGGGAGAAATGTCTATTGAGATCCTTTGCCCCCACCTTTTTTTTTGGTGAGGAAGATTGGCCCAGAGCTAACATCTGTTGCCAGTCTTCCTCTTTTTGCTTGAGGAAGATTGTCCCTGAGCTAACACCTGTGCCAGTCTTCCACTGTTTTGTATATGGGATGCTGCCACAGCATGGCTTGATGAGTGGTGTGTAGGTCCACACCTGGGATCTGAACCTGCGAACTGTGGGAGACTGAAGTCGAGCGTCCGAACTTAACCGCTACACCACCGGGTTGGCTCCCCTTTGCCTGTTTTTTAATTGGGTTATTTGTATTTTTATTATTGGGTTGTAAGTGTTCTTTCTATATTCTAGATAGAAGTCCCTTAACAGATATATGATTTGTCTGGGAGGTACAACTAAGCTGGAACCACTTTAAATTCTTCACTTGAGGTTTTCCAGGTCATACCACTAGTGTAAATTTAAACTGCAGACCTACATAGAGCCAGCTTGTGGTTACAGATTCTTGGGGGAGGCTTTATTTTCTTTCATTCAACCCCAAGGTCAAGACCATCAAGTAGACCTGCTGTCCTCTTCAACACAGTGGGGTTTGTTTTTATTTCACATCCATACACTTTGGGTGTAGCTCTTGGGAGGTCTGTCCCAGTTTTCTAATACATCCCTTGCATATTCCACATATTGGGTGGACTCTAAGCTTTATCTCCTGCTTATCCCGCCCCTACCTTCCTTTGTAGCTCTTAGAGCCAGAAGTTCACAATTTCTAAGGTTTGGCAGAAAATCTTGGAGGAGAAAGCTCATTATTTTATTATTATTATTATTATTATTATTCAATGTTCCCACTTTCATTTTGTTTTTGGGAGCTGTAGATTCTTTGCTTTCATGCCAGCTCAGAAATGCACTTCAACAGCTGGATACAATGTAAAAAGCATTGCTGAGTTGGCAAGAAAGCAGGCAGGGTCATTCAGGCTATCTAATATGCAATATTTCTATAAATGGTAATCAGGTCATTGGAATTGAGAATGTCAATAAGCTGTGAGGCCAAGGTGATTTGTTGATATAGACATTAAAGTCTTCTGGCATGATATTGGGATTAGGGTTAGAGTAGAAGACTAAGTCAGATGCCTAAGTCCTCAGTGAATGTTTAGAAGTTACTAAGAGATTAGTAGTGAATAGATAGGGTATAGGTAAGTTAGGTAGTGAGGTTGGGTGGACCAAGTCTCAAAGGAGGTCTTTTTCTATACAAGGATGAAAGTGTAGTGACCTTTAAGTGTCAAGAGAAAGTAAGAATGCTCATCCCTTCTGCTTGCCCTGTGGTGCACAGGAGTGAATGAATGATGAGTAGTATGTGATTGACTGTCCCTTCCCTTTGACGTCTCTCTTAACTTCATATTGTTTTTGTTCATAAACTGGCTAAATTGCGACACAAATGAATTCTGTGTTTATACTTTGTAAAGAATGGGAAATAATAAAGCATGCTTTTCCCTTTCTTGTAATAACTCAATAGACTGAGTTCTTCCAGGCAGGGACTGAGCCTGGAACCCAAGTATTTAGTAACACTATTCATGGCACATAGAATGTAAACTTGATGAGAGCAGGCCTTTTTGTCTGTTTTTATTCACTGCTCAATAAATATTTGTTTTGTGAGGGAATGAATGAATAGGAACTGCTCATAAATGTTCATCGAATCAATTGTGGTATACTGGAGTAGTTTTCATGATGCTGACTAGAGAGTTTCTTGCTCAGCTTGGCAGGAGGGAAGGGGGCCTACGTTTTTCCTTTTTCTTTTCTTTTTTTCTATCTTTTTAAAAATATTTATTGAAGTATAATATACATACAGATAATTGCCTATATTGTTAGTGATCATCTCAATTAATTTTTATAAACCAAACACATTTGTGTGAATATCACCCAGATCAAGAAATAGGGAGCCTAACTTTTAAAAGCCTTACTTCAGAAAAGTCATTTTCGTCTGGCCCCGTGGCTTAGCAGTTGAGTGCGCGCACTCCACTACTGGCGGCCTGGGTTCGGATCTCGGGCACACAGCGACGCACCGCTTCTCTGGCCATGCTGAGGCCACGTCCCACATACAGCAATTAGAAGGATGTGCAACTATGACATATAACTATCTACTGGGGGTTTGGGGAAAAAAAAAGGAGGAGGATTGGCAATCGATGTTAGCTGAGAGCCCGTCTTCCTCAGCAAAAAAAAGAGGAGGATTAGCACGGATGTTAGCTCAGGGCTGATCTCCCCCGCCCACCACAAAAATAAATAAATAAATAGAAAAGTCATTTTCATATAATTTGGTGGGAGCCTGATTATAGTGATTCAGATGTGGTAGTTAAGTATTTGCCAGAAAGGCAATTGTAAAGTCTTAGATGCATATGAGTTTTCCCTTTCTAGATATGATTAAAGGAGGATGTCAGATTTCCTATAATGCTGGAGCCTAGGGCAAGTGATTGTGTGACGCAAATTTCATATCCAAAATGATAAATAGTGTTGCTAATGGATCATATCTTAGGGATGTGAGGTAATGAGTTTTTTACTGAAAGTTATTATATTTTGTATAGAATATGGCAGACTTGGTCATAATATGTCTTCTTCCCTTAAAAAAAAAGATCTGATATCTAAATTCATGCTTTTCACAAATATATCCAGAGTCTTTGTGAACCCATTTCTAAGTTGAGGAGAGGCAACATGGAATGCTGTACTTTAGACTTCGAAGTTTAGAGTCATGACTCGCAAAATACAAGTTTGTTTAAAGAAAGTCTTTGTCTTTGTTGCCTTCTCAAGTCCTATTAAATAATTTACTTTTTCAGTTTCCTAACATCTAGAGTAGGTGTTAGCACATTTTTTCTTAAAGAGCCAAGTAGTAAATATTGAGGCTTGACGGCCATACTATCTCTGTCACAGCTACTCTGCTGATGTAGCGCAAAAGCAGCTATAGACAATACATAAACGAATCACTGTGGCTCTGTTCCAATACAACATTATTTACAATAACCAGCAGTGGGCTAGATTTGACCGGCAGGTTGTTATTTACCCATCTTTGCCATAGAGTATTATTTCTTTGTCTGATAGACAGATGTTCTTAATTTAATGAACTTCACTTTATTGTTTTTTTTTTCTTTTATGTTTTATTTTGTGGCTATCATTTTTTTTCCTTTTATGAAAGAAAAAAAACGGCCACCCTCTGGTCATGAAGGTATTCTCCCTGTTTTCTTCTAGAACAGATATCGACAAGCTTTACCTGTGAAGGGCCAGATAGTAAATATTTTAGGCTTTGTGGGCCATACAGTCTCTGTCACAGCTACTCAGCTCTGCTGCTGTAGTGAGAAAGCAGCTATAGACAATACATAAATGAATGAGTGTGGGGCCGGCCCAGTGGCTTAGCAGTTAAGGATGCACGCTCCGCTTTGGCGGCCTGAGGTTCGCAGGTTTGAATCCCAGGCGCAGACTGATGCACCGCTTGTCGAGCCACGCTGTGGCAGGCATCCCACATATAAAGTAGAGGAAGATGGGCACAAATGTTAGCTCAGGGCCAATCTTCCTCAGCAAAAAGACGAGGATTGGCAGCGGATGTTAGCTCAGGGCTAATCTTCCTTACACACAAAATAAATAAATAAGTGAATGTGGCTATGTTCCAATAAAACTTGATTTACAAAAACAGGTGGACCGTAGTTTGCTGACCCCTGATCTAGAATAAAACCTCAACAAGTGGACACTCAAAATGAAATAGTATAAGAGAACCAATCATTCAGTAATTTAAGTAACAAATTTATTGTGTGTGCTATTTGCCAAATGAGGGCTAAATGGTTAATTAAATTATGGTGTATCCACTCACTGGAATATTAAGATCATTGAAAATGATCATTTTGAAGAGCAAACAACATGGGAAAATGATTTTAAGTGGGAAATCAGGATAAAAGTTTTGTTTGTGTTGTCGGGGGAAGAGGGAGAATCTCCCTCTGCCCTTTCCCTTAAGGTTCTTATGGCTGGCCAAATAATCAACAAGACAGG